CTCTTCACATTAGGTGACCAAAATATCTGAACTTGAGCTTCATTATCAATCCTTCCAATGAGCAATCAGGGATGATTTCATTTAAGATTGAGGTTAACATCATTATAAATAGCTAAAAACACTAGACCTCTCCATGCAGATTGAAGATTTTATCACTGTCCATTTGAGTCCAGGTGACTATTCCTGCAGTGTATTAAATTATTGGTACTGCCCATGAGTTGATGACTCTGATTGTGTTTCCACGATTCTGTTATTGTTATTTCAGTATTATAGTTTTCTTGCCTTGGATGAGAAAAGCCATTTGTGGAATGCCTTGAGGTGGTCCCAAGATTTCCTGTTATTCATAACTGGCGGTCATTCCAGAATTTGGGAGGCAAGGAAATTCATTTAATTTCTGATATTACAAATACAATCATGAATAATAATTATTTATTTCACACCACAGAGGAAAAGATTGAGAAATTCCCTCTCTTGCAGGAAGGAAGCTCTCCTTCCTTGCTCTCCAGTTTGACAGCTCTTTTACTCTGAAGCAAGAAATACGGCATGGGACCCTGAAACCCCTGAGGGCAGGGGAGGAGCATAAGGGTCTGTGAGTTCTGCATTTCCTGCCCATGGTTGTATTAAATTTTTTACCCTTTGACTTTGAGGAACAGTGGCCGAGTTGACCACTGCTTTGTTTTCTTACATCCCTCCCTCCCACCCACCCAGCAACCCACCCATGAAAGTGGCTAGAAAATATTGAAACACAGCCCAAAACAACCCAGGATCAGGTTGAGGTTGCTGCCTTCAAATGGCAGCTGCCCTGAGCACTTCCACTGTTTTCTCCTGCTGTTGAGGAGCTGGAAATGAGCAGACAGTTCTCTACCATCCCACTTAAAGTGCTTACAGCCTGACCTCCTTCAGCTGTACACGAGTGTTGCTTCTACTGTGTCCTATCAAGCTGGTTGAAAGGAGTTACTGGGGTAACTCCACTACTGTTGCCAGGTAACCAAAACTAGCCTTCTTGACATATGAGCCAATTGTTAACTTGAACATTTGAGTGTCCGTCTCCTTGGTTAAATGCAGTCAGTAATAACAAGGTAAAGGTACTTATCATTTACAGTTATGTAGCATTAACTTTACCTGTATATCAGACATAGTCACTATCTCCAATGTCAGAAAATAGCACAGAGTTTTACCAGGAAGACAGTCAAACAGGACAGATGGTGATACGTTTTTAATCAGCTTTGCTGAAGGCTAAAAGGCGCTGCGTGAAATGGACAATTGGGGTAAGACACAAAATGCTTTGCAAATTTAAAGTTATATGTTTCTACATTTAACTTTTTGAGTATCTTTTTAAAATGGATTATGTACACGTTTATAAATAGATTGCTAGGTGCTTTGCTTGTCACAGCATAAATCCAATTATTAAATACTGCGTAGCTGAAGTGTCTGCATATTTCAGATACCGAACTGATAAAGTTGTAGTTCTGGAGTAACTATATGGGCTTTAGTAGTTCTACAGTTGGGGTTTCATGTATGGCAGAATGTGAAATTGTTTCAGGTATTTGTGGAAATTTTCAATTTTAAAATATTCCATAATCTCTCTCCAGCTCTTTCTCTCTTTTTCAGAACAACCCCGCTGTATTTATTCTTCATATAAATAAGGAGGTTGCATGCTATCTGTTTATCTTAGACAGCAATGCCACCTCATTTACATGGTGTTATTACCATACCATACCAGTCATGAGATATACCATTGTAGTGAATATGTCAAGATTTGCAAGTGACTTTTCAGTTTCAATTGGTTTTCCCTCCCTGACAGATCTAGGTCAGTCTGGCCTGAGTTGTATGCATATCTGTTTATGGTATAAAGCACAAATTCCTTTTAAATATTTTTGTATTATTTTCAGGTGTTAGCATTCCCCAAGTAGATGCCACTCGACTTGAGAAACGTGATGCTGCCAGGATTTCAAATTAAGGAGAAATGCTGCATCATCTCTCAACTAGCTGCCCAAGGGCATTTCCACTGATGCAGTCATCATTATTTATTTAGGGACGCCTTATCAAGAAGCAGCCTGCCTATAAACATGATTTGCCTGGTCCTGCACTGTGGTTTCCTGCTTCATGCCATTGAAATATCCATCACCGTTTATTATACAACCTTACCTCTCGCCAGTTCACAGGGACATTTCCCAAGTCTTGAAAATGTGGGTGCTTTCAAGAACATTTCCATCGTGCCAACCCAAGCTACCTGTGGATTGCCAGAGCGGAGTGTTTTTTGTCAAAGTTCAGCTATTGTTGAAAATATTCACTCCTGTACTCAGCAATTTTGCATTCAGAAGTGTTTGTACAGATCATCTCCTGCTTCCCAGGCTGCCATTCTCTCAGAAGGCCTGGGCAACGGTATCAGACAAGACCAAGATGATGTGCCTTCTGGATCTTTGGGCAACACCTCAAGCATTGTTTTTCATGGTGAAAAGGGTTGCTTTTTCACTCCTCGTGCTCGGAAGCTTGCTGTTTCGTTCACTTTAGCCGTGTGGTTGAAACTTGAGAAAAAAGGCGTAATGTAAGTAGCTGGCAGATGGTTACTCAACCAGTAAAATCAAACATAATAATAGACAGAATTTCTGTCAGGATGCACATAAAATGAATGGCACACTAATGTTATCACACTGATTTCATGTAAACTTAGAAATACTATTTGGTACAAGTTTAGTTGACTGTTTCACTTTAGGCAGTATATGGAGATCACATATTTGATTATATGACTGGTGTTCTTTCTCTTGCTATTTACTATCTGTGTGTAGACAATTCTTACAGGAGGAACTTGAATGCATTCTTTCTCTTTATGAATTATTGTTTCTATTTTAAATAGCAGGTATGGTGTTGAACTAGGGAGAACTAGTTAAAGTCCACGGGTAGCCATGGAAGCTTACTTCAGTACCTTGATACAGATAACACCTGCCTCAGTCAAAATTCCTTTTTGGTGATTTTGGCAGCTGCTTACATTTCTTAGAAGTGTCTCCAGGGCTATCTTCTCTTCACCTTTTCCATGCTGAATGTATCCCTGATGTCAGTTTATGGCTGCTGCATGGAGCTGTAGTAGGTGGAAATGGCCATTATAGTGATGGGAGTGTTTTCTGGGCAAGTCAGGGGATAGATATAATTTGACCATGGAAATCCTTGGGTTAGGATTTGATGGAGACTGTCTCTGTGACAGTGGGATATTTCTCCTGTGGGTTGCTGCTGGTGGTACTGCTTCTTTGGACATCCCTGATGGCACCTTGGTGATGACAGTCAAAGGCACCTTGTTGGCTCCACAGATCAGTTTGATGCACTCAGATTCTTTTCTATTGTCAGGAATTTTTAGCAGATTTGTGTACTGTAGCCCTGGCGAAAGGACTCTCTGTTGCATTGGTGCTACTGCTGTGAGGGTGGGACTATCAGCTATATTTTCCAGGACTATTAGCCTCTGGCTTAGCAAAATAGTGGCCAGCTAAATATAATGGAATATAGATTTGGGATCAATATTCTCAGTTGTGCATAATAACTTTTGCCTTGCTTCTGCATTATTATTTACTGTTGTTGCAGCTCTATTCATTCATCTTTCCTATAATCTAGGTCAAGATGGTGTCCTTTATCATTCATTTATTGGTTACATGAAATAAGACACCATCTCACATATCTATTTACTGATGAGAAGTTTGATAAGACAGGTGATTGTCACACTGTCTCATGTTTTGGAATGTGGATGTGAAGGAGCATTATGCGGACATGGACTGGAATGGGCCCCCAAATCAGACAGGCTGCTTTATGGTGACTGAGTCTAGAAGTTGTTCTTGAATAATATGGGGCATGATGGAATCAGATTTGGGGTGTCCTGTGCACTTTGGTGACTGGTGTCTGGGGAGCAGTGATAGATTAATGGGATTATCTTTGTATGGATGGTTTCCTTCTGGAAAGCTAGAAAGAGCCCTGCTCCCACCCCCCACCCCCATCGGCCCTCCTGACAATGTAGGTGAGGGAATATTTTGACTATTGCTCTGTTGGCATGGATGGTAGAAAGATTAGATGCCCGCTTTGTCTCATCCACATAGTCCTGTGTGTTTGTGTTTGCATGCTTGTGTTCCTACCTATGCATTTTGCAAGGAAGTACAGTTTTTGATTAAAGCTAGCTTTTAGAATCAGTCTTCAAAAATAACTAAGGAAGAAATTAGCAGCTTCCTCCACTGACTGATAAATCCTTTTGTTGATTAAGAAATTGCCAGCCCTTTATGGCTCCTTAAGGTGTCGGACGCTCAATTCCTATTCAAAAAGTGATGCAGCAAGGATGCTTTTAAACTTTAATATTAATTCTCTGGTGTAGTCCTTGACAAAACCTGAATTTCACTCAATGTTGGCCACAAGGTCTGTTTCACTTCTGCTGTGTGCTGATTATGTCTTCTGTACAATGCAAGTGGGATTAAAGTGAACTCTCTGGGCCTTTTCCTTGTAGAAAGGAAAGACTAGTCATCAAGTATGACAAAATAGAAGTAGTGATTGTCTCCAGAAGTCCTGTCACATTTCCCCATTCCTACCTGAGTGCCTTAACTACTAGAGTGAACTGGCTGTCTTTGTTTCTGACTTTACAGGATCATTATTTGTCATAATGGAAGGCAGGTATAGATCAGGACATAACATTTTACTCCTTATTAGCTCAATTTTTTACCTTGATTTGCCTCAAAAGAACCCCAATAGAGCTGAAGCAGTGCAATCTTAGCAACAATATTCACAAGATTTTTCTCCACTTTGTATAGAGCACGTTTGTCTGGAAGTTCTCTCTCCCATGCTACTTATCTAGCCAATACCAAGAGAATCCTTACACTCACTAGATCCAATGTTTTTCTGTCTTAATTGTTGGAGAGAAGATTTAACCATATTCCAAGGCAAGGGTGGCCATGTCCCTGCCCATTGTGGAAAATAGTATCAGTCTCAGAGATGTGTCTGTGCTACCCTTTCTACTTGAGTTAGTGACCAGCTATAATAATGTCTTTCTTTACTAGCAACCATGGTAGATCAGATGAGGAGAATATTCTTCTTTTCTTAATTGACAAGTCATCCTAATTTCCAGAAGGGTTGTCTAGTTCTGCTATATTACTATTGCCATTTGATGTTTATTTGTATCTTTATAAACTTGTTTAATGATTTCATATCTTTTAATATGTTCTTTGGGCTATAAATGCCTGAGAACATGTAAACATACTATTTTGTTATCCTCTTTGTTTTTGACTGTAAATCAAATAAACTCTGTATGTGTCTTTGTGGGAGTTCCCACGGGTCGGTGGGCGGATGGAAGACAGAAATGAGAGTGAAGAATCTGTCCCAGCTGATCCTGGCATTTGCTAGGGTCCATACTGAGAGGACACTTAGTGCTGTTTTGAGTCTCCAGAGCCACGGCTGTGTCTCTTTTGCATAATTGTTTTATTCAGCAGTAAATGGAATTGTGTATGAATGTTTTTAAAGCTTAGATGCAAAAGACTCCACTAAGGGTTGTTTTTTTTAATTGGTTTATTTAAAGTAATTGCTGGTTGTTGAGGACTTATAGGACAAGAAGCATTGTTTACCCTGCAGCCAGTCAGCATGAGGGAGATACATTCAATGGGGCTATCAGGACACTGGTAATAAGTTCTGTAACATCCAGCCTGAATAGCCCCACCTCTTTTTCCTTGTGATCTGTGTAGGAGGAGTTGAGCAATTCCTTGGCTTTTAACTGTTTAATTGTTGTTCACATAGTATGATTGACCAGGGGAGCACACTATGGATTAAAACAGCTTCTCTCTAACTCCACAGTCGATTGGGTGTTTGCATGTTACACTAACCCTGTCCTTGAGCTGCTAAATGTGTCATACAAACATAATCATGATTTCTCATCCTAATCAAGTTGTCATAGTGGGGATACAACTGGAAAACAGATTATATGTACAGCCCATGAACTCTTGAAGAAATAGCAAGCTGTGAATCGAGTGAATAAATAACATTTAATACATTAATTTGGAACTTGTATTTATGCAAATGGTTGGATTTTCGCAAACTGGCACTTCAATAATACAGCAAGTTAAAGCTACTTAAGGTACATTATGTTATCTGTCAGCTGCAACCCTGTGCTCAAAGTTTATTGTCAGATTTCAGGTATGCATGGTATGTCTGATAGCTAACATAGATAGAATCTAAGTGAGACATATATTTAATACTGTTCTGCTCTCAAACAGTATCCTCTCCCAAGAGACTCCTTTCATTGCTGTCTATTGTAAATTGTATTGTTTTTATTTGTAATTAATAATCAGAACAGCAGTAATACATGCTCGAGATATCTCATTAAATCAATCTCAAGAGCAGAGACTATCTTCAGAGTCTTGATGGAGGTGTGTATTTACCAAGTCCCTCTATTTGCCATAGAATCCAATGGTCCAACAACCCAAAGGTTATCAAAGAGATCAAATTTAATCATTAGGAACCATTTCCTAGGCAGTTGCTAAGTTTCTACATCTTCTTTCACATGAAACTTTTACTTAAATATTTGATATATTGATCTTCTACCCTTAAAGTAAAAACAGAGAAATGAACAAAGTATTTAAAGTAATTAACTATATAAGGGGAGGGGTAGTCCTGCTGCCCCTTAAGGAGGCAGTGGTGCACTCCCTTCTCAAGGGGCTAACACCTGACCCAACTACTCTGGGCAATTTTCATCCAGTTTCCAAACTTCCCTTTTTAGAGAAGGTTGTGGAGAAGGTGGTCACACTGCAGCTTCAGAGGACTCTGAATAAAACAGATTATATGGATCCCTTTCAGCTGGGATTCAGGCTTGGGTATGGGACTGAGATGGCATTGATTTGGTGAGAGCAAGATGGGGGTAGTGCATCCATCCTTGCTCTTCTTGACATCTCAGCGGCTGTCAATATCATCAATCATTGTATCCTCTTGGGCCAACTCTGGGAGTTGGGGTAGGTGGTACTGTGTTGTGCTGGTTCTCTTCCTTCCTCTAGGGCTGGTTCCAGTCAGTGTTGATGGGGGGAAAGATCCAGCCCATGGCCTCTAATTTTAGAGTGCTGTAGGGCTTGGTTCATGCCCTCATGGAAATGGACCATGGACCATGGAAATCTGGACTACTTTAATGTGCTCTACATGCCCTTGAAGAGCATTCAGAAGCTTCAGATAGTAAATGGCACTGGCTATTCAGCATATGTGACACCACTACTTCATGAGCTGCATTGCTTGCCAGTGTGCTTCTGGATGAAATTCAAGGTGGTGGTTGTCACCTTTAAAGCCCTTCATAGCTTGGGCTGGGGTACTTAAGGGTCCATCTTGTCCATTAAGGGCCCAGTTATTTCTACCTGCCTGATCCAGTCCAGGCTAAAGAATGCTGGCCAATGGGGCCAGAAGGCAAGCCTTTTCCACCATAGCACCCACCCTCTGGAACATTCTCCCTCCAGAGATCAGGTTGGCCCCAACCCTGCTGGTCCTTCATAAGTCCTAAAGACCTGGCTGTGTGCCCAGGCCTGGGGCCCTGCGTGTGTGAAGGTACCCATCTCCTGGTTGTGTTGGTGATTGTATTTCTCTTGGCTGCTATGTATTTTAATTTTTGTAGTTGTCATTGTCATTGTTTTTATTTTTACTTTTAACATTGTTCCCTGCACAGGGTCATTCATTGAGATGGGAGACTATATAAATTGACAAAAGAGGAGGGGAGGGGAGGGGAGGGGAGGGGAGGGGAAGAAGGAAGGAAGGAAGGAAGGAAGGAAGGAAGAAGGAAGGAAGGAAGGAATTGAAATGTAATTCTGTGGTCCTTGGGAGGCTTATCCAAAAGGCATTGGATTTTTGTGGGGACCGTGTTATATGTGCAGAGAAGGCCTTCATGGAAATAATTGCACTATTGAAGAGCTTCTCCTTGTACTAATGAAACCTCCACTGTCATTGTCTTCTTTCATAATTGTTCCACAAGTGTTAAGAAGAAAAAAAGGAAGTATATTAAGGATGGTCAAAGTGAACTGACTCAGATCAATGCAGTTTCTGTCTTCCTTACCATAAACCTGGCTGGACCTGGATGGGACATCTACTGAGACATTCTAGTTGACCTAGCTAGCAATCTTAGGAGTGCTCTCTAAGAAAAGTATAAACTATAAAATATATAAACAACATAGATATGTTCATGTAATTAATATATGTCAAGCTGGATTTGAATGAGAATTAATATTTAGAGTAGTGATTGAACAGGATGAATTTTTAAAAAAAAACAAAAAACAGACTAGAACAATATTGCATGTCTTTGTATGGCTAGGAGGTCTTCCCTCACCTTTCATACTTTGATATGAAGTCAACTTTTTCTTGAAAGTTTTACTGTCATTGTTATAGTCATGACATTTCAAGATACCACATACTTTCACCAGATGGGAAATTCATTGTAAATCACACATTTGTGAAAACCTTATGGATTTTAAAGTGTTACACATCAGGGTCACTTCCTTCGTTAAAGGCAGGACACTTGTTGGGATCCACATATGGAAATACTTGTTTTTAGATAAGCAAAATTAATAAACTTTGGATTATCCAATTATTGTTTATCCAGGAACTGAGTAAATCCAGTTCCTAAATATTTTCCTTCTTGGCTGTGCCTTTGACAAATATTTGATTTTGAAAAACCAACATGTTTACAAGCAGGCAGAATCAGCAGTATGTTAAGAAATGCATTTTTAGCAACGTTGCAGACTGCATAGTTCACTTAAAATTCTGTTGACAAATAATTGATGGGATCAGAATCATTACTGAAAGAGAATAATGGTCAAACTTCATTTATCTTGTCTGATTAAAAGTGAGTTAGTGACAAGCCAGTCTGTGGGCAAGAATCGTGACTATTTTTAACTGAAAACAGTAGCGTAGGACTGCAGTGGGAAAACAACAAAGTTCTTTTTGAAATAGTATGCCCTGTAACCTTGAACTAATGTAAAAATACTTTTAGAAAAGTTGGAACATTTTATGGATAAATGTTTTATTGTGTGCTTAAATGGCATTGTAATAAAAGTAAAGGATGGAATCCAATTGCATTCATCTGCTGATGGAACAATACTCACAAGCAGAAGATTCTCCCCTTTTGTGTAGTTTCCTGCATGGGGGAATATCTTCTATAGAAGATTGGCTCACTGTCTAGAACAGAATTTGAGGGCATGCAAGGGAGATAGGGAATCTGGAAAGCTGAATGAGGAGAAGCCTGCTTCTATAATGTTGGATGTGGCATTATTTATATTATCAGTTTGATAATTATTAAATTATCAGTATTAAGTATCAACTTTAGCACATACTGAGATATAGTCCCATGGACACTTTCTTAGTTAATTTAGTGGCAAGGTGAGGTAGTGGCTTCTGGCAGCAGATGTTGGAAGACAGACAGTAGCTGCAGGTTATTAGATAACAGAACTGAATATGCTACATAAATTGTCCTGTGCTGCTCCCCCTCCCCTTAAAATAACTTTCTGTCTTCTGTTTTGATTTAGGATAGCGTCCCATCACCAATGTTGAAGTAAAATTCAGTACTCAGTCCAGTAACCTGCTATACCTGGAATGGTGGGGAAGCCATTTTCTTATTCACCTGAAACAACTAAGTATCTTTGGTGGGGCCTGAATGAGACATTATGTCTTTTCATGTGTAGCCCAGCCTTACCCACAACAATGTTGGAGGCCTGCTTGATACCATGTCTTCCCACAGCTCACAAATGACCCATCCTAATTCCATATTTTCACAGAGTTCAAATGCCTTTAGCCTAGTCCAATTCCCTAATCAATGCAGGATCTGCAGTAGAGGTTGCCACTACAAAATTCCTGACAGATGGTTATCCAGACTCTGCTTAAAGTTCTAAAACAAAGAAGAGAACACTACTTTCCCAGGCAATGTGTTCCACTCACAAACAACATTTGTTCTGAGGAAGTTTCTTCTAATGGTTACATAAAATATGCTTGATTGCTATTTCCACCATTGCTTTGATAGAGTAGCAGAGCAAATTCTATCTTCTGAATGCCAGTCTTTCAGAATTTGGAAGATCATTATTTTGCCTATCCTTTATGTGTTGTTCTCCAGACTAAACATACAAAGGATATGTGTGACACACATAAAAAAACAAGTGGAGCTTCAATTGCACCATCGGGGCTGCCATCTTGATTTTTTTTAACCCTGCAGAAACCCCTGAAACATATTTAGCTCCTTCATTCATCTTAGGAATTTTTTGCCAGTATCCTCAGTGTATTGATTGCTCTTCTCTGTAGATAGCCCATTATGTCATTGATCTTAAGATGTTGTACCAAGAGTAGAGTATTGCTTCCAGTGACCCAGACATTATGCTTCTGTTAACTGAATGATGGATTGCACTAGCTTTTTTAGCACATGTGATATGTGATTCCCAAAAAATCTAGAGCTTACTTATGCAAGTATATTTATTACTAATTTGTTGCACTTCAGTGCTAAAATTTATAAAGATCTCTGTTGAATAATATCTGATTAGTTTTGACCCATTGAAACTTAATTCTATCTTATGTTGTATTGGCAACTCCCCCCCCCCCAAATCCAAGTTATTTATATACATTTGTTGAAGAGAAAGGGCCCCAAACAGAGGCTTAAAGGACTCTAGCAGAAACCTCCCATGATAATTTATTTGACTTTAACTCCATTAAGCTCAATTCCTGCTTTATAAATACCTGGTTCTCATACCTGCATCACTTCTTTCCCCCATCCCCTATTTCTGTAGGGATTCCACTGCTCTTCTAGAAGTTCACCTTAGGTGTTGTCTTCTTTATTGTTTCCAAAGGTGTATGGTGGAGAAAGCTGTTGATGGGCAGACTGTGTTCAAGCTTACAATTTCTGAAAAAGAGACAGTGTTTTATTATCGCACTATAAATGGGCTGCAGCTACCGATAAAAGTAATGACACTGGGGAGAATTCTTGTGAAGAAATGGAATCATCTTAGCGTGCAGGTGAGTTAAATAAATAAATAACCTTTAGCACCAGTATTAAAGTCTTGTATTATATGAGAGGGGCACATCTGAACAAATGTTAAAATGGTAGAATTTAACTTAAAATATTATGATAAAGTAGGGGACAAGTGATGATACATTCCTTTATTTCAAACTGCGGTCTCTAACAGAGTTTTAACAATGACCAGTGTTCATTCCTGCATATAATATCCATCACAATATTCTAAAGCAAGGAAGCATAGCAGTAAAAACAGGTATTGAAATATTTCACAAGTTACCCGGCTGTGCTGAACATTTGCCTTATAAAAAAGGTTCTAGGTTCAATAAGAAGACATAAAGTTTCTTGATTAAATACATAACAAATAGGAGATCAGCACTGTCATGTATAATAGCATTGATTCTCTAATCCACCATTCAAGATGCTGCATGCATTTACAGTACATACCTAAACTTCAGTACTTTTCAGATTATGCCATTTGTTAGAAAAAAAGGCTTGTATACAGAATGTTGTGCATCCCAGGCAGCTTATAGGTGTTCAAAATAACAAAATTGTTCCACTGGCTGAAGGATACAACTACATATAACTCACAATCAATCATTAGTATCATACACAGTGAATTAGTATCTTCTTTGGGGCTGACATAACAGCATATAAAATTGAAAGCTGATCTCTGTACTGGTTCTATGTCTGGGCAAATGCCATGAAGCGATGTTATACAGCAGCTCTACCATGAACCTAGAGGATATAAAATTAGCATAAGGGTTTAGATCTAAAGGTTCTACAGAATTTGTAAGCTAGACTTAAGGTAAAAGTTGAAGTAAGAGAGGTTAGGTCGGGCATTCTGTGCAGGGAACATGGGATTGCAAAGATACAGAAGGGCTGTGCTGTGCTTCCGATTCTATTCCAAAAAGATGCTTCAGAGCAAATGTGGCACTGATCTATAACTCTTTAGAGCATCAATTCAGCTGCTTTAAAGCATTGCAGAAAAGTCCTATATTCATGTCCCTATGTTCTCCAAAGCAGTTTTTTGGAATCTAAAAACCTAAAGCATTATACAGCCCTACTGTACAGTATTCAAAATGGCTATCATGTAAAATTAGATTATTTTGCTGTTTTCCTAATGCTTACTCATATTTATATATTTCCCTCTATAAATGAATAAAGAAATCATGAACTTTGAAGAGTCTTAAGAAATGTATGCTGTCATATCCACATCTACCAAAACTAGAGTGAAATGGGTCATCTATAGGACTGTCAGTTGGGAATGTTTTATTACAAATTCAGTGTCTCTAATTATTTAATAAAATTCATATTAGCCTTTATTTTGCTAAATCACATTTGCATAACTTTGCCATGTTTTGGCAGCACCACATTAAAAGCCTTAGAAAGGAAGTTTAAATGTAAAATGTAAAGGGGTAACTGGATTTGAATTACTCCTTTGGGAGCAAAATGCTCTTAGAATGCCTATTGAAATCAGCATTATCATTTCAATACATGTCAAATGTGAGTCTTCTTTTAGTTTAGGCAACATTTCTTTATAAATCTTTAAATCTTCCAGTTCTTTCAAGGAAAGGTTAAAGTACTTATGATTTAATGAGACCACTTTACATCATAACTGTTTGACTACCTGGAGAAAACTTGTCCTTTCCAATTTGTAAAATCTTCTTTTTCCTTCTTCTCTGGAATGTTTTGGGTACTCTATATTTTATGTTTAATGACAAGAACACGACAATCTCAGGCATATGAACAAAACATTTACTTCTTCATTACAAGTGTGTGTAACAAAGCAAGAACTGCAGTCTGAGGCTCATGGCCTGCCGTCAAGATTTCTGTATACTGTAACTTCATTTTCATCAAAGACTCCTGAGCAAACTTTGTGGTCATGGGTTAGGAGGACCTGTTCTTCTATAGATTGTGAACTAGTTAAAAACAGAAAGCCAAGAGTGGGAATAAATGAACAAGTTTCTCAGTGGAGAAAAGTAAGAAGCAGACCATCTCAAGGGTCCATGTTAGGATCAGTGATTTTTAATTTGTTCTAAAACGTCTTATGGATAATCAGTAAGATGGCCTAGTCTGCAGATAATACAAAAAATATTCAGGGTGGCAAGAATTAAAAGTAACTGTGAAGCACTCCAGAAAAATCTCTTTAAACTGGGTGAAATGGTCAATCAGATGGAGGTTTTTCAATTTCAATATGCGTAAACTGACTTCTTCCCCCCATCCCATAGAAACACTGATAAATCTGAGCTGTCTCTAACTTGGGATCATAGTGGATAGTCCACTGAAGACGTCAATTCAATGTACAGCAGGTATGAAAAAGGCAAAATCCATGTTAGGAATCATTAAATAATTAGATAGTCAGTGTAGTGTAGTGTTAAGGTGTTGGGTTAAAAATGGGGAAACTGAGGTTCTAATCTACTCTCATCTATAGAGATTTACTGGGTAACTTTGGGTTAAACCCTGTCTCTCAGCCCAATCTATTTTACAAGGTTGTGGGGAATAAGAAGAGGTTTATACTATGCATACAAAATAAAAAATACTACTAAAGTACTTTAAAGAAAGGGAATGAAGACAAAAATGACAACACTGTAATTTCCCAATACAAATCTATGGTATCTTTGCCTCTGGTCAACATATTAGAAAAAGGTTTAATACAGCTAAAAAAAATTGCAAAGAGGACAGTCAAAGTAATTAAGTGGTTCAAACATGTCCCTTACAAGAAAAGGCTAGATCTGTCAGGATTCTTTAGGCTGGAAAAGAGGCAAATGTGGTGATACTGATCAAAGTGGATAAAATTATGCATGGTTTGGAGAAAGTAAACAGGGAGAAGTTTTAGTCCATTTCTCAAATTATTAGGATCAGGGGTATTCTAATGAAACTGACTGGAAGGAAATTTAGAACAAAACATTTCTTCACATAATTAACCTGTGAGTTTCATGACCATAATAGATGGCAATAGATGGTTTTAAAAGAGGATTGGATAAATTCAGGTTCCACCAAGAGCTGTTGGTCTTGAAGATGATATATGGCCTCTGGGCTGTAGACAGCATGCCTGCAAATACCAGCAGCGAAACGGTGGGATATGTCTCCTGCTTGGACGTACCATCCCAGAGGCATCTTTGGTTGGCCACTGTGAGAAAGAACATGCTGAACGAAGATGAGTCTTGACCCGATCTTATGCATTGTTTTATTCTCCTATATCTCATCATTCTCTCTCCCTCCTTCCCTCCCTCCCTCTCCCACCCCACCCAGATTTACAGATATTTGATAGTTGGTAAGGATATACATCCTGTTGAACTCAGTATGACTTATTTCTGATTACACATGCATAGTGTGCCTCACACTTTAAATCAGAAGTCGTTGAAGATAGTAAACTTACTGCAGCTCGGTACTGTACAGCTGCTGTACACATGATTCAGACTTTTTGTTTTCAGAAAATCATTTCTACAGTGACTCATTGTTCAATGAACCCCTTAAAGGAAACGAGAGGATTCTGAGAATTATTCTATTGTATTCTATTCATTATTTTTTATTTAGAAAATGTATAAGTCACTCATTTGCTTAATGGCTGTGGGTGGCTGACAAAAAACAACAAAAGCAGCATTAAAATGTAAGTGTACAGAACACAAAAGCTAGAACGGTAGTGTTAAAAGGTCAGTGAAAATAAATAAGTTTTCACTCTGTTTTTAAATTTAGTAAGCAGAGGGCTTGCTTCAACCACAGTGGCAATTTATTCCAGTTTATGAGCCTCTGCCATGAAGAAAGCTGAATTTGTTGTTGATGTCAAAGCTAGCCTAGTAGGACCCATAAAAAATGGGCCATTGGTAAACTGAGTATGTAGGGCAGACAGTAGGGGAATAGGTGGTTCTTTAAATAGCTTAGACCTAAACCATGTACTTCACTTAATTTATTTTGGAATTTATATGCCACCTTTAAAATTGGTTTTCTTACCCACTTTCTATTCTATGCTACAAACAGCTAATGGATAGCACTAGACAGGCCTTTTTGAACCCAGAATGTGACCTAAAAGAAGTAGATGGCAAATGTTTGATTTGATCTTGCAGAGAAGCTTATTACTAGTCCTTATTACCTACTACTATTCTTGCTAAACATCCCTGATGTGTATTCCCTGGAACATAATCTGTGAACCACAGATAGGACATTAGAAATAGCAACAGTGATCTATATTTACTAACTGTGTGTCTGTTTCATATATCTAATTTATTAAAAGGATATCAGTTTGGTGTAGCGGTTAAGATGCTGGCCTAGAAACCAGGAAACTATGAGTTCTAGGCCCGCCTTAGGCATGAAAACCAGCTGGGTGACTTTGGGCCACTCACTCTCTCTCAACCCAACTCACCTCATAGAGTTGTTGTTATGGGGAAAATAGGAAGCAGGAATATTAGCTATGTTCACTGCCTTGAGTTATATATATTAAAAAGGGATAAAAATCTCAATAATAATAATAATAATAATAATAATAATAATAATAATATTACAAAAATAATTTTAAATTTAATAGCAGTAAAGTAGCATGCTTTAGTGTATAACTTAGAATTACATACAACACTTTTGAGAGCAACTCTCTATGAACTCAAAATAATTTCATACTCCATATTCATAAATGCAGTCTAAACACAAGTCATAGAGAGAAAATTATGTGAAGTAGATTAATGAGTGGTGAGGGAGGGTAGAAATTCATCTAGAGTCAAAATGACACAAAGTACAGTAGGTGCTGGGCAATTTCTATAGTATACTATACTAGTATTATAACTCATGTGGGTAGGTAGAGAGATTGAGGAATGCTCTAGAGACACATTCTCTAGGCTAAGGCCAAGAAGTCAAGCTATTTTGCATTGAGCAGCTGTAGGTATTATATAGAGCTAAACTAACAAAACAATTTTGAAGAGATGTCTAGAAAAAAATGTTTAAATGCAGTTTTTTAGGGATGTATACAAGACTTGCATCATTCACCAATTAGCACACAGACTTTTATTTT